TTTTGTTTAAGCTTGGTAAACCAAAAATATATCTTGCACAGATTTGCCATAATTTATATTTTATTATATTAAGTTTGAATTAACAATTAAACAGTTTAAAATTAGGTTTATATTTTATGAAAATGTATTTAAACTGAAACTAGAGTGGTTAGTGAAAATAGTCAGATGCACCCTTTTGGTTGGTAAATGACGTGTGAATCAAGTAATGAATGCTCATTTACGTTAATTGTAGTACATTAAAACAGTTCAAAAGAAGAAAAGAATGTTTATTTTTTAATTATGGCACATGCTTATATAGGAGAGATAGAAAGTATCACTCAGGTTACTTAAAAAAAGGATTTTGGCTAAGCACTAGTGTTGGTTTAAGTGACTGACAGGATAGCCTCTGCACTTATCAGTCAGACTGATGTTAAAGACAGATATTGTAGATCTGGCGAAACTATGGCAATTGCTATATATATATTTCATTCTTGTTGGTTAGGACCTCACCTTATCAGTAATAATAAAAACACGCATTAGATAACCGTACTCCTGATTGGTTACTTAATTGGTTTATTGTTTTCAATAATGAACCATTGTAACTGTCCAAAAATTCAGAAAATTAATACCCCTCAAAATTTGCGGTTTTACGTTTTACAAAACGTAGAACTCGAAAATCAAATAAAAAAAAATCGTTCGTCCGCCGTCCGGGGCTTTTTTCCGAGTCTACTGGACCGATTTTTTCTTCCAATTAGGAATCAAAGCCCTTCTTTTTAAGATGGCAGCCGAAATACCAGTTTTGGTACAGACTGTAACTTGGTTAAAGTCTTCTCCTCGATGCCGTTAAAGAAGCTGGAAAAAAGTTATGAGGGAGGGTAAAATTAGATCTCCGATTAACTCAAGAAGTATACACTTTTTTGCCGATGTTGTAATTTTGTTTTAAGAGTTTAGAAAACTAATTTTTGAAATCGGGCAATGTGGTAGAAAGGTATAGTGTTCTAAATATGTTTAAAAGATATACTGCAAAGCTTATATCTTATATATTATGGCTTATTTTATTTTTTTAAAGGTTCGCATCAAATGATAAATGTTATCTATTTTCCTCAGCAAATTGTTTTAAATATTTGAGGAGGGCAAATATCGACAGTATTATGAATATTCTAAATGAATAGTTTCAAACCAAAATATAAGGGGAGGCATGGAACAGTATGCATCATGTGTAGTTATACGGGATCTAAGATATTTTATATTTTACTGTCGCTTACACTGGTTTTAAGAAAAGGAGAGCAACAAAATATTTTAGGAGGGATGAGGAAGGCACATGCGCCATTGACCTTGGGGAGGGGGAGCACATAATGGATATGTCTGCAAAAGGTTGACAACCATTCTGATGAAGAGAGAGTAATCTGTGATCGCGCCCGGTTATTACATACCACGAGCTCCATGGATATCTATATAACAGAACCAAACGATCACAGCTGTTGCCTAAAACAGCCCCGTAGCTAGAAGACTAATGGTGGAAGTAAAATTAGTCAAGAGGCATTAGGAAAAAAATGTTTTAATTTGGAAAAATTCCAAACCACCCAGCTTTATGTCTCCAAAATGAAGGCAAAAGAAACTTGTCAACGTTTCGCCAATTCAGGCACCATCAGGACAGAAAGGAACAGCTAATCGAACATCCACTCCATAACATCCAAACTCTGTCATGGAGTCTACGTTTGGATGTTATGGAGTGGAGGTTCGATTAGCTGTTCCTTCTGTCCTGATGGTGCCTGAATTTGTTTTTTATGCTTTCAAGACCAAGAACAAAACTGCCTCATTCTCGTCTTGGTCTTGCGTTTGGGCAATAATAGACAAAAGGCTATGTGACTGGATTTTAAAAATGATTACCTAATATTTATTGAATAAATATACATGTTAAGCCCGTTATTTCTTTTTATATTTTATTTATGTAAACTATTCACTTTTTAGCCTATACTGGACTGTAACTGTAAGCCTATTTTGGAGACCGCTGCTATAAGCTCTGGACGACAAGGTACAATTTAGGAGAGGACGACAGAATATAGGCCACTATCGATTCCTGTCGGCCTTCTTTGATTAGTTCCTCCTCCCCCCTCTAAGGTTCCAATTTCTTCTTTGGTCGTCGGCATAACAACATCCACCTTCCGTTCGACATCCTGTACTCCAAAACACTTTACATATATTGCTTCAGTATGAAAAAATATTTATTTATCGTAATTAATAATAACAATTGATATTAAACAAAGTACTAAGTAGATTTGTTTATTGAATTAAAAATGAAATATCTTGAGTTGCAATTTTATGTTAATTCGATTTAAAAAAGAGGTGACAAATTTAAATTAGGTTTGTTAACGAATGATAATATATGGAGGATTTTTTAATTTTTAATTTAGGATTTTTCTATGAAACAGTGAGTTTTCTTCAATTTCTCAGATCACAGTGACTTTCTCAGATCTTCTTTCCATTTTTTTTTTTTTTTTTTTTTTTTTTTTTTTTTTTTTTTTTTTTTAATCGGTGGTATAATGAATCAAATCTCAAATTAAGGGTTTACAATGCTATGATAAAGCCAGTTCTACTATATGTAACATCTGGACACTAACCAGCACCCAAGAAAAAAGTGTTGAAAGATTTGAGAGAAAAATCCTTTTATGTTAATTCGATTTAAAAAAGAGGTGACAAATTTAAATTAGGTTTGTTAACGAATGATAATATATGGAGGATTTTTTAATTTTTAATTTAGGATTTTTCTATGAAACAGTGAGTTTTCTTCAATTTCTCAGATCACAGTGACTTTCTCAGATCTTCTTTCCATTTTTGTCTGTCCAGAGTCCAATCCTTTTGCAAACAATAGAATCTTCTATTTGATCGGAGAATTTAAATGTATAAAATCAGTATATTAACTTTCATTGTTTACAAGAAAACTTTTTTATTATTTGATTCGTTATTTTCAATAATGAACTTTTGCAATCGGTCGAGAATATGAAAAAATTAACCGTCTCAAAATTAGAACTTGCCTTTCATGACATACAGAATCCTCAAATCGATTTAAAAAAATAAATCTGTTCGTCCTTCTTATACCTTTCGGAATCATCGATACTACTGGACCGATTTAATTTTTGTTGTTGTTGTGGTTATGAACATATGGTATTTTTGATTAATTTTTATTTATTTATTCTTTTCCTGTTGGCATTACAGACCATGTAAATCTTTTGCCGTCTTAATAAGCCTGCTCCATCTCTGCCTGTCCTGGGCCATTTCTTTCCATTTATCTGCATGTAGCTCTTTTGCATACTTGTTTGTTGGTCTATCCATCTCATTTTTTTCCTTCCACTTGGTCTTTGGCCTTCATTGTTACTTAGAGGCTTCCAGATGGATTGCTACGAACTACATGCCCCGCCCATCTTAACCTCCGTGCCTTCATATTGATATACATGGGACATTGATTGACCAGATTCTGTAAGCAGTTCTTTATTGGCCTTTTTTCACCATGTGTTAGTACACTGATCCCAGATCGCTTCGGTTATCGTGTGAAGGATTTTTCTCTCAAATCTTTCAACACTTTTTTCTTGGGTGCTGGTTAGTGTCCAGATGTTACATATAGTAGAACTGGCTTTATCATAGCATTGTAAACCCTTAATTTGAGATTTGATTCATTATACCAGCGATTAAAAAAAAAAAAAAAAAAAAAAAAAAAAAAAAAAAAAAAAAAAAAAAAAAAAAAAAAAAAAAATTAATTTATACATTGGCACATTATTTTTCAAAATGAACCTTGCAATCTGTTTAGAAAAAAAAGGAAGAAATTTAACCTCCTTAAAATTTGAGGTTTAAGAATACAAGAATATAACCTTTATGGACATATGAAAGTTACTTAAATTTTGTACAAAACAAACAAAAATAATAAAATCGAACGGGATGGAGTCGGAATATAACTTACACAACTCAAGACATTGTTCATATAGTTTAAAGTATAAAGCTATATATAAAAAATATATATTAAAAAAATATCCAATGTTAACAAACAATTATAATATTCTGAAGAGGAGTCGGTTGGGGTGAGTAGTCCCAAGTAAAAAAAAAATAAATAAATATAATTCCTTTATTTCTTTTACTTGTGACAACTGCTCATCCCAACCAACTCACCTTCATTATATTCACGATAGTAAACTTTTAATCCACTATTATGAATTATTGTATTCATATCACTTGGAAAAGCAGTGTAGATAAAGGAACACATCAGATATTTTTTTATATACAAAAGTATGGAAATAATAAACCATTGTATAATGGTTTTCAGGGTTTATTTCCTTCACTTGTTTCAACATCAAGGTATGAAACATTGTGATCTGACATCAGTAAACTATCATTAATATTGTCTTGAAAAGTTTACACTTTACCTTTACGATGATTAAAATCATATAGAAATCCTGAAATAAATTTTAATAATAAAAACTGAATTAATAAACAACATGTATTTAATAAAATTATTTCAACTTTAGATTATATAACTCAATAAATAATAATCTTCAAAATATATTGTTTATTACACTTAGCGTAAGACCCATAAGCAACATTGAGCTGTCAATGTGTATATTTGTTTTTATTTACAACAGTTATTGCCTTGTAAATCATGGTTAAACCTCATATGAAAGCATGTGATAACTTAATGTTAACCAGATACCCTGAAAATACATTTAAGTATGATTGATTGATTATAATATATAATTATGATAAGTATTTTTTTAACTAAACTTTTATATCACATACAATATATTTTATTACAATAAAGCTCTGTAAAAGATTTATTAATAAATTAATAACATAAAATCCTCATTACCCTTGATTATACTTACCACTTTATTCATATCTAATGCATAGTAAATAAATAGTACATATTAATATTTTAAGAACTTTAAGAAGTTACGAAAGAGCTGTTTTCGTCATATTTTGAGTAAGTTGACGAATGCTTAACTAAGTCAGATAAGTCTGGAGTCGGTGCTTACCCGAACGGTGAACTGGTCTGTCGAATAGTCTACGGGCTGGCATCGGAGTGAATAGTGGCCCGTCAGCCAACCGGACATCCCAAGCTGCAAAACAACTATCCTTCAAGCTCTCATCAACAAAAAGTTATCACCCAAGGGCGGATATATCAGTCTTTTCATTTTATCGAATCCAATTAATGTTACACCCAAGACCCATAAGATTATATATATATATATATATATATATATATATATATATATATATATATATATATATATATATATATATATATATATATATATATTTACAATTTATTGCAATAATTCTTCCAATATTACTTTTCATCTTTAAAACCTTATGTAATCTGAACAAATATAGTATACAAGGAAATATTTTTTTAGTTGTGATTACTTGGTAGAATTAATATTTATGAAATATACTACATTTTTTTTTAATCTCTCATATATAAAGTGTATAGTTTCAAAACCGGTAACATCCATTAAAAAAAAAAAAAAAATTCTCATAAGTTTTTAAGACCAGAAATGAATGATGTGTTGGTTTCAAATCCGTCTAGATTCTCCAAAAATCAATACCGAAAAATTAGGTTTCCTATCAAACACCTTTTGTTGTTGATAGTTAACCTTTTCGTTCTTTATGAAAATGGTCGTAGATGGTTTATAGTTTAGTTTAGATGGTTTTAGCTCGAAATCCTTTCATTAAATATTTTAACTAATTTTAATCCTTTCATAATGGGAAAAAATCTGAAATTCAATTAATTAACCCTAGGAAAAGACAGATACTTAAAGAATAATGAAAAAAATCAAGATATCAACGAAAATTTGTATGTATAAAAAAAATAATATTATTATTAACATATATCTTTTTAAAATTTATAAAAGTAATTTATTTTGAAAAAAGTCGTTTCTTCATCCAAAAACGAACTAGAGATTGATATTTTCTGATCAAATTCGGGCACATCCAACATATTTTTTGTATTAAATTGGATTTAATGAAAATATGTCAATAATTTTTCTTAAAACGACTTGTAACCAAAATGACGAAAAATAATTTTAAAAGATTGTTGATTTTTTTAATGAAATATTTTTTGATCAGCTCCGAAAAATGATTTAAAATGGATGTAAACCATTTTGAAACTAATTGCCTCATATATACCTTTTTATCAACAAATGTCAATTATTTATTCCAGTTTGGTTTTTATTTATTTATTATTTTTTCCTCTCGTTTTATTCTATGATCTTACATAATTATATTTTGGAATTTTATTTTATTTTTATAGTTAATTTATTTTACTAATTTTAAATTAGTCCGTGGTTATAAGAAGTTACCAAGACCATGACCAAGACTCAGTTTGCAAGACCAAGACTCGCCTCGGTCTCGCATTTGGGCAACGCTACTGATCACTCATCGCAAAACTTTCTGATTTACTGATTTACGTACTCCGACAGACAAAAACTTATTACTTTTTTTTTTAGTGTTCTTGAAATGAATTTCGAGTACTCATAGGCATTATATTAAGTGACTTAAATTGTGCGAATCGAATAGAAATAATTGAAATTATAACGAATTATTTACCTTCTTGAAACGCTGGAGTCATATAAAAAAGAATTTTAGACGAATAAGATAATTCCTCGATAACTCTGGTCATTCGATTAATATTAAGTTGGATAACCGAAGGATGACAAGAGAGAGGAAGAAGCGAGAAGGTTCGGGACGAAGTACATTGACCGAGGAGGATGTGAACGGCGGTTTCCGTCCAGTGCCACATTGATATGCACCAAGTCCGTTCTATCCCATGCATTTCTGAACAAACTCGACATCGTTCTAATTTATTAGGCAAATCTCGTTTACACCGTCTATGTTACCTCATTCCTATTTTGGTTCCTTATATAATCTTATATCATATATAATATTATTACAATTTATATTTCATAAAAGAAATTTGGCCCTACTTCACCCATTGAAAATCCCTTACATACCATACAGTTAACAAATCGCAGGCAGTGGTGACTTCATAAGTAGCACTTTTATTTATAATATATGTTACAAATGGCATCTTGACAACTCAATTATACAATGAATATGGATTGATTGCAAAAGTTAACTCCACGTCTCCAACAAGAGGACGGCAACAAGATCATGGATCTGGGTCTCCTGAAGAGAAGAGTTTAAGAATGTAACCTCATGAGTGATCTGTCTAGAGTACCATCGGGGTAATATATCCAGGATTAGTAGAGAAGATGAGGGAAGTCGGGAAAAGAGGGCTTCAAAGGAAGTTATTAATAATTGGTATTATTAATATATGAGTTTCATGAAAAAGGGATCTGCTAGTTTTTCTAAGCCACAAAGATATCCTTGTCCTTAGGGTTATGGGAATTGCCAATATATGATTCACCAATTAGCAAAGTTTAGATTAATTAATTAATTAATATTTATTATTTATTGTAAATAAGGGTTACATTAATATTATTATTATTTGTGACGGATTAAGTCCATTCCGTAACTATAATAACTAGCGTGGTTTCACCGTCGTGATTTAGATCCCTTTTTATCAAATTAATATTTTATATTTTATTTAGGAAAATTCTCGGAATCGGGAAGTTTTCAATCTGGAAGGGGAAAACTTTGTCTATTTAAGTAAGTACTAAAAACTCGTAAATACCCATTCACTTTCCACTTGGATCGTAACATAATTTTTAGCCTAAAATCGAGAAAAAAGGCGGTCTACAAAAATATTGGGCCGTTTGTCCAATATAAACCCGTTATTATGAAATTTTGGGGGGTGTAGGTCACGCAAAACGGCTCAATATCTTTGAAGGTCCCCTTTTTTCTCGATTTTGTGATCAAATTATCTTACGATCCAAGTGGAAAGCAAAGGAGTATTTAAGATTTTTTAGTACCTCAATTAATAAACAAAGTTTGCCGATTTTCAGATTGAAAACGCCCAAATCCCAAGTTTTCTTAAATAAAATAGTTGCAGGTTACGATGAGATGAAGCTATTCACGAAGTTTCAGGCGGATGTTAACAATTTGATAAAAAGGGGTCTAGAACACGGACTAATTTCTTTTCATACAAAATTCGAATAAATGAGCAAGAGCATCCGATTAATTGAATAACATTTGAAATTTATCGGTAAAAATGACTCATCAATAAAAAAACAAAAATAATAATTTGGAAACATGATTTAATTGTTTCATTGTTGCAAAAGAATTTAAAAACAAATTTTGCATTTTTTTTTGTTGTCGGAGATTATGTAATTTGTGTCCGTTTTTTTTTTATTATTAAGAAATATAACATTCTATTCCCTAATTTAATTTAACAATATAGTGACGATTGAAAAATATCGAGAAACCACAAAAAGAATTTCTCTATCAGCAATTTGACTTTTTCTACCACCAATAAGGAAGAGCAGAAGAGGTGATTAAAACGTTAAAATTCAATAAGAAAAATGGGAATGTGTGGGAGAAGACGTTAGGAAGACAATTTTCCAAAACCAACTCAATTTATGTATACATTTTTGACCCTCTTACTCAAATTTGGAGGGGCCGTAGGAGTAAAAAATCTTATAAAAATATGACATGGGTGGTGAGAGGGAAGGGGGAGAAAGCACTTTTGGGCAACAAGAACTCCATTGAATAAAATAAAATATTATTCTTCTAACTGTACTGGTGTAGATAGGCTGTACCCAACAAACTTAAAAGAAGGTAAGTAAAAATTTTAAAAATATTATACGAAAAATGGAGGGAGTGGAAGAAAAAGTTGAGACCCCCGAAGGCACTTCTGCAATATTAAATTAAATTATTTATAAATTTTCGATCCTTAGTTATTTATATAAGTTATTTATGTAATTGGGATGCTTTATATTATTGAAAGGAAGCTTAAGTACTTTATAATCTTTTCTCATAAGCATGATTTGGTTTTCTCTGCGACTTAATCTAGTTTAGGAAAGATATAGTTGTAGACGAAACAGTCTTCTTCTAAGTCGACACAAAAATACTTAAATATTTTATACCTTCGTGTTTTTTATAGTGACTGTTAACAATATTTACGAGCCTTAGGGTATTTGCTTAATGTTCTCCAGGTTAATTTGTGGTTTATGGTTACTGCTCCGTTCATACCGTGATTTTATAAAGCTTTTCTTAATAAACAATCTATTGAACGCAAAAATAATTTTTCAAATAGAATCGATAGCTCCTGAAATCTAGTGCTTTTTACCCAAAATACATTTTTTTTGTAAAAAAAACGCTAGATTTATATGATAATTTATATTAATTGAGAAATCTAACATTGCTTTGAAAATGAATTTTCGAAAAAGCCATTACTTGTCCATTAAGTTGTTTAGAACAAACTTCGATTGATGATGTTTGTTTTCAGAATACCGTTGTCCCATTTGTGCACATTCTACCACCGTAATATTTGTCACGGCCTGAGACTGCCATGATAAATGACCCCTCTTCGGGTTTGGACTCTGTGGAATTTTCCATAAACCAATAAGGTAATCAACTTTAAGCACTGAAGAGCTAATAATACAAATATTAACTAAGGCGCCAGTCACTCATTAGCTCCAGATAACCAAAAGTACACAAACACTAACAAGTTGTTTTGGTTATAATTATTTTTTTTTAATAACGTAAACCTGAACTCACTATAGGCGCAGACTTTAGATTTAGATTTGGGAGAGGGGGAGGAGGGCAATGTCCAAAAAAAAAAAAAAAAAAAAAAAAAAGAAAGCGACGTTTTATTATGTGAAAAAAATCAACATAATTATTATGAAACGAACAAAATATAATATTGAATATTTAAAATTAAATTGTTTACAAGTTTGTATAGTTGTAAGAGTTTTTATTTTTATTTTTTGTTGTACTTATTATATATATTTGAGAATATCTGAACACATAACATATTTGCTTAGATGAAACACAGGAGAGAGAAGAGACAGCCTTCATAACATTCACGCATTTCTAGATTCTTTTTCAGCTAAAAATGAATAATGTAAAAAAATATGTTTAATCTAAAAAAAAAAATACAAAGTTTTTCACAGCCCGACTAGTTTGTTGCGGAAAGTGTGATAGAGGTCACGTAAAA